GACGGGCTTTAAGTTTTTTGATAAGGCCTTTATATAGATCAAAAATCTGGATACAGTTGGCGATATTTCGGAAATCAAAAGATCTCGCTATTTCGTTGCAATTCCACATCTCATCAATAAATAAATTCTTTTGGTCCGAGTATCAGGATAAACTTTAATACTAAATAAATAACAACCACACTGTTCGGTCTAGAGATATATATTTTCTTGCAGGTTTAATCACAGTTTAATATTGCCACGCTGCACAAGCGGCAAGCGTGCTTTCTTTGGCAAGTCTATAATGAAATCTGATCCAACTTGCTTGAATTGTAACTCGACACCAGATTATAGTGTAGAACGTCACGATATAAATATTAATTCAAGAGTTCTCTTTATAATTACGATTTCTTGTTGCAAATTTACAGTAAATTTCATCACCCAAAGTTGCAATTATAAAACACTACAAACACGCTCCTTTCCCACCCCTCTCACAGTTACAATTAAATTTACCTCCCAGAATCTGGGAGGCACGTGACCAGCCGCAGCCAGGGTCTCTCCCAGATGACAGACGGAGAGACCCTGGGAACGAGGTTGTATATTCACCTGAGTACATTACATCAAGACAGAACAAATCATGATTACTAGATTACATTAATATCGAAGAGACTAGATTCCGTTCAGAAATATCACATACTCGAACCGACCTGGCCGCGTAGCTCAGTTGGCAGAGCATTGGGCTAGTATTCCAAAGGTCGCAGGTTCGATTCCCACCGTGGTTAGGCATATTTTTCCAAGCCTGCCCGGTGTGGATATACACTCAGAGTAACATCACAAACATCATATTTACCTGAGTACATTACACCAACACAGAAAAAATCATTACTAGATTACATTGATATCGAAGGAACTAGATTTTGTTCCGAAGTATCACATACTCACAGTATCACATACCGAATAACATAAGCAATTTGGGAGTAGACGACTTTGCTGATGTCTCACCCACGCATATGCCTTCCCTGCCGAATATTAATAACTTTATGGTAAATACGAACATGTCGAATGCTGAACTGTTGGATTTTGATGCTTCTCAAAATGACTCTGCACACTTTTCAACTAATAATGGCGCTACAAATGGATCTGAGCAAACCCTTAAAGAAATTCCGTTATGTGTGGAGGGAAACGCACTGGATGATGTTATGAATCGCTTGAATGCATTGTCTAACGAATTTGAAAAATATAAATCCGAAACGACCATAGTATTGAACGAGCTTGTAGATGGGTATGAAAAGGCTATTAGTAAAACACGGAGCACACGGAGCACACGAAGTACGGAGCAGTAGAGAAACGAAAATCCTTTATAATAAAATACACTGTTTACTATTACAATTTTTTGTTATTATTAATAAAGATTTTTCGCGAATTTACACGTTGGGGAAGTAGGAAAATGGGGCTTTTACTGAAAACATGCATATGATGCAAAACTGCCAAAAGCCATTAAGCCATAGTATTTAAATAGGATTGTGAAACTCGTTATCTTACATCTATCAAGCTTATGTAGTTATATTATATTCCGATTGCCAACGCATAAAGAAACACTTACTGTAGAGAACAGCCGATATATTTCGTTACCCCTGCCAAAAAATAGCCAAGTACTCATCTTTCAATGTAGCGGATCGACTGAACATTAAAGCTTGTGATGGAGAGAAGTGAATTTTCGGTTTATCCTTCGGCTCAGTGGCAGTGACAGTGTGCTGTACGGCCTACGTTTAAACCGTTATACAGTACATAATTACTGCTTTGAATTCACATTCTTTCAATCCGTTTTGAATATTCGGAATCATTCACAATATTATACTGTAGACGATCCGAAAACCTATTCACCCCCCACCCCTTAACTAAACATACAATTCGGTGTAAGGTTTAAAAATTGACGTGTATTATACTATTATTCTATATATAATTTAGGTAAACTCTAAAAGAAAAGCCGTACAGCTGCATATGACATTCGGTTAAAAAATTAGAACGCTGACTTTTTCGCGTTCTCTTTTTTTTGTCGTAAACAACTCCATATACGGAAGTTTGTTCCATATATGGAGAAAGACGTGGAAACAGATTTTTAAAAAATGCTGATTTTAAAAAATGCTGCATGATTTTAAAAAAATTACGAAAATCTTTATAGAGGTATAAACTGTTCACAATTTTAGCACTTTTTGAGTACTATTTTGAGCACTTTTTAGCCCTTTTTGCCAGAACTTTGTTTGGATTTTACCAGCGCAATCTGGAAGGCCTATTAAATAATAGCTCGAATAATAGTGCATTTCGATATGCGTGCGTACTCGACCAAGTATTTGGGAATGTATGCTTTTTACACGTACTCGACTTCAAAAGACAGCAAACGGCTGTAAGATTTGTTAGCTTAATTACTTGACCAAAAGTAAACGGCTGTACGCATTATTGTAACGCATATTGTGTGTACTCTATCTAGTTTAGGCTATAGCCAAAATGTCCATCACATGTATCTAAAGACTAAACTATCAAACTTTATAATTCCATCGGAATCGAAATACTGATCTACATGCGGCTGCCGGGCAGTATTTTTAAAATTATACTACGTGCCCGGCAGTCAGGAAACACGTACAGTACAGCACACTGGGCCGAAGGATAAACCGAAAATTCACTTCTCTCCATCACAAGCTTTAATGTTCAGTCGATCCCGGCTACATTGAAAGATGAGTACTTGGCTATTTTTTGGCAGGGGTAACGAAATATATCGGCTGTTCTCTACAGTAAGTGTTTCTTTATGCGTTGGCCAACGGAATATCCGAATATAATATAACTACATAAGCTTGATAGATGTAAGATAACGAGTTTCACAATCCTATTTTAAATACTATGACTTTTGGCAGTTTTGCATCATATGTGTTTTTCAGTAAAAGCCCCATTTTCCTACTTCCCCAACGTGTAATACGCGAAAAAACTTTGTTAATAATAACAAAAATTTGTAATAGTAAACAGTGTATTTTATTATAAAGGATTTTCGTTTTTCTACTGCTCCGTACTTCGTGTGCTCCGTGTTCCGTGTGCTCCGTGCTCCGTGTTTTACTAATAGCCGTATGAAAATCGTAACAGCCAAGTGAGAGATAATCAACTTGCCCAAGAAAACGACTTAAAAAAAGCAAATATGGCACTTAAATCTGACGTACATAAACTTGAATGTCTATTGTCCGAAACCAGTTCTAAATTAGTAGCTGCGGAAAGCGAAAAAGCTAGTCTCGTGACGGTTATTCGGTTAATGAATGAGGATTGTGCTAATGCTGTTAAAGATGTAGGGGACAACGTTCGCAGTCAAACGACTCAACCAAGAAATCCATGGTGTACGGTTCATACAAGAAGCGAGAATCAAAAAGGTAACGAGGTTACAAGACTGCACAACCAGTTCTCGTCTTTAGAGGACGAGGCAAATGAACTAAACAATAACAGTGACTTTGATGCTTCCGTAATTAATATTGATTCTGATATACAACAACCAACACCTAGTCAAAATATGTCTGAGAGTACAAGTAAATTTACAGAGCCCAAGGATGACAGAACGCAAGGTACAAGTGGTAACAGTGATCGAGTACCAAAGAAAGGTATTGCACTTATTGGGGATTCAATAATCAAAAATGTTAGTCCGGTAAAACTCTCGAAAATGAAAGTTTATAAATTCACATATCCAGGTAAAACAACTATAGAAATAACTAATGAGCTTGCCAAAATTAATATTAAACCGGACCCGTCTCATGTTGTTATTCACGCAGGGACAAATGATGTCCCTGTTGAATCTATAGACGAATGTGTTGGTAACATGGAAAAACTTATTACAACAGCTAAACAGAAATTCCCTAATTCTAAAATTAGAATTTCTGGACTTACATTGAGACAGGATAGTGATTTAATATCAAAAATAGAAGAAATTAATGAGAAAGTTCAGAGTTTGTCATCTAAGCATGATGTGACATTTATAAGTAATATGTCAATAGATGAGACATGTTTGAACTCTAGTGGCCTGCATCTAAATGCAAAG